ACACGTTTCAGTAACCCGACTTGATATGAAATTGCAAGCTAAGCGACTAACGTGTGATTGGTTATATATGATACCAAAACGCTATCACTGATGGTCTTCTGCCAAAATGTGACAAACAGGAAGTGAACACTACGACAGAGACAGACAGAATCAAAATGCAACGAATTAACTGCATAAAATCTAATGAAATTTAAAGTGTAAATGCGATAAAAACCCATGTGTTACACCTATTTATTTGCCTAGCCAATAATCGTCTCCGAAATTTTCAGCGCAAAAGTTTTTTTTCTTGTCAGAATATGCAGCTGTCTAGGCAAATTTTGCTTTACTTAATGTGCAATCTTTTTGGCCCCATTAGTCGTGTGTCGATTCTCCAATCATTCCCACAATAAATATTGACAGATAAACAGTGCGAAATTAAATCCGATTGTATAAGATGGTCACACTTCAAAATGAAGACCAGTGTGCAGCAATAACGGCACAGGAACGCAACAAAATATTTTTTATAAACTTTCGTGCAAAAAGTGACTCCCATTTTCAACGGACATGTATTCTGACAGATATTTTCTATCCGGGACATCAGTAGTCCAGCAAATTGAATGAAAGATTCTGTTACTGCGGCACCGCTTACCTGTCAGATAACCAAGAACTAGTCTGTATATCACCGCGATGTTACTCAGTGTACACCATAAACGGCTATTTACTGTCAATTTTCGTCAAAAGTATATCCAGTGTAAATATTTCATGCTTAAAATATCACTTGACTGAAGTTCATTTGTTCAGATTTTTCACACTGTATGCACGAATCATCAACGGACATCTAGTGGGACTCAAGCAATCATGGTTTGGTCTTCATCATTCCTCAAACAAAGCTGACTGCTGCGTACCGTATTCCCTCTCTGGTTGACTACGCACTCCACTTTCCTGGTTTTGACTTTGAAGTCGTCCAACCTTCATTTTGCTAGTAGTAAGCAGAGAATATTTGCTCAATTTTTGCTCTCCTTTTCAAATGTATTCTGCTCAGTGGGTACTATGAAAACTGTTTCCGTGAAAAAAGTCGCCAAATAAGCTGGCTGATATCAATCTCACACGCAATTATTCACTTCTCATTATAAAACAGTGTTAATCCAAACATCAGTCAAGCCCAAAACATGTCTATATTGACAGGAACCAACGAAGTGAAACATATATGGACCTGCTCAGTTAAATTGATCGATTTGGAAGGAATCGCTTCCCTTTTTGATTCTTTGGATCAACACACAGCGCACATTGCCGACTGAAACGTGCGCTCCTCTTTATTTGTAGCCATTCAGATGCACATTTTTCCTAAACGTTTCTAGACTCTTTCTGACTAGTTAAATACCTGAATGTATACCATTTACATGAGTTCAATTTCGGTCAAGTGTTTTAGATTACCGGAGGAATCACTTTATACAGCTGGAACTCGTTGTCTGTTTAAGAATTAATTAGCAAAGTGCACTAATCTAATAAGTCCTTTTTTCTTCACAGGATAATTCATATGACCGGAAAAGATAAATTTGCTTAAGTTTAATGAATGGAAAGCAAGTTATCAAAATGGTTACCAGTGTGCAAAAAATGGTATGGATTATAAAAATATGTTTGATTCCTATTTAGGTCGGAACACCAGTCTAGTGGAGTAGGCAATGCTTACTATCACTTAACAGTTTGTAAGCCTACCTCACTATGGAAAACTGTGGACCAGATTCGCTTTTACTGCTTTTGACAGATTAAAAGCCTGTTGTTGAAAATACAGTGTCACAGTCCAGACATTCCAGCCAAAATGGTTGATTGCTGCATTATTGCATCTCATTACTAACTTCGTCGCGATTATACTAAGGGCCTCCATGTAATGCTCAAAACTTTTACTAACACTTAGGACTAACTTGTTTCAAATAATCAGGTTGAAAAACACAGAAGTTACCTGTACACTTTCTTCCAAAAGTTATCCAAGCCAATATTTTGGAAAAAAATCCTTCTTCAATTTTTTATTATAACATTTGACGTTGTGAATAAACGAGCGGAAGTCCACCGTAGGCGAGAAGCAGAAGTCTCTTTTCAATGCGAATTATCAATTGTGCTTCGTAATGTGATCTCTCAAAATGTTGCTCGTAAATTAGAATTTTACGAATTGATTCACTACTAGTTTTTTGCGTCATACTGGAGAGTGTTGAGGGTTCCGTCACTGATGAGTTTGAAAAATGAAAAAGGACTATGGGGAACAATAATATGTTCCCCTGAACTTTTCAGTTTTATTGATAGGTGTTTGCTTGGTTGATAGCATTCAGCAGAGCTTCTGAATGCGCTTCTGCTATTACTATTTGTAACACAATACCGTCCATATACTTAACTGATAGTGAACCCATTGGTCTAAACTAATCCGCGTCCAACGTTGTAAGTCTAGATATACTTTTTGGCGTATTCGATATGATAGTACATCTGAGATATTTTAAACTTCATGGTGGCCGCTGGTGCTTTCCAACCGGTGTTTGCAGTTCCCACACATATCTAGCCAGGATTTATGAGCTAGCTCTAGGTACGTAGATGCGGTGCTGTTTGCTTAATAAAAGGTGGTCCATGATACCAAATTCGATTGTTAAAGTACGAAGAATGTGCAAGTACAAAGCTCAAGGAAGGTGTTTTACTATTATAAGACTACACACGCACATCTAAATTTGGAAATTGAAGAGATATAATCGGTAATTAGTGCCTTTCTCTCGTATCTACCGCATACATTTTTAAGGGAAAGCTGTGTAGGAGTTTTTGGTGGTAAAGTGATTAATTGAAACCGACTAATCTCTATGACTTTGGCTGGTTAAAGCATAAAATGAATACTAAATAAAGTTAACATGATCTGCATATCTCGTCATTGTGTTGGGTGAGGGTGAAATATTTTAATCCCCACCGGTTTCAGATAATAGAACATTCATTTATAGCAAGCATCAAAAACATGGTTTATCCTGTAGAATAACCACACCAATGTTATTAAAGACCTTTAAAAAATTCTATTCAGCAGACCTCCCTCAAGCTACGTTCCCAACAACTGAGAGTTATCAGTTGACATTTTAAAGATGCCATCGCATTTACTGTTGACCAAAGGCTTCATCTTCTAACGAAGATTGGCTTTGCACGGCAGGGTGCGAATAGCGATATTTCTCTCACCGTCAGAAAAACATCCATCCACTGACAACGGACGATATTTTCCCTATCTGTCAACAAATGTCCTGAGAAGAGTTAGTGAGAACTACGGAATGTATTAGCTGCACAGTTGCTCTATGTTCTGATTAAAGCTCAGTCTCAAGGTTGGTGCCTGCTACATACATACATACATACATACATACAAACATACATACATACATACATACATACAAACATACATACATACATACATACATACAAACATACATACATACATACATACATACAAACATACATACATACATACATACATACAAACATACATACATACATACATACATACAAACATACATACATACATACATACATACAAACATACATACATACATACATACATACAAACATACATACATACATACATACATACAAACATACATACATACATACATACATACAAACATACATACATACATACATACATACAAACATACATACATACATACATACATACAAACATACATACATACATACATACATACAAACATACATACATACATACATACATACAAACATACATACATACATACATACATACAAACATACATACATACATACATACATACAAACATACATACATACATACATACATACAAACATACATACATACATACATACATACAAACATACATACATACATACATACATACAAACATACATACATACATACATACATACAAACATACATACATACATACATACATACAAACATACATACATACATACATACATACAAACATACATACATACATACATACATACAAACATACATACATACATACATACATACAAACATACATACATACATACATACATACAAACATACATACATACATACATACATACAAACATACATACATACATACATACCATGTGATGTGATAGACATGCAGCATTATTATACCAACCAGTTTTAGAGTACATCTAGTACTTCAGAGAACGAAAAGTTGGCACAAACAACTGCCTAATTGAATGTAGCACAGTGAGTTTTTGGTCACAAGCAGAATCTTAAATCAGCCAGTCATGGAAGAATAGTTAATCATTTACCACTAGCCGAGCGACTGAGTTCAAATCCTTCTAGAGATTCATGATAATCCCAGTTCCGATGGTTTTCAGTAAGAAATAAACATCTACATAACGACTGTTGAATTTTCAGCATAGATTTTTACCATGGGTTCATTTAAGGTACTTTAGCTCTGCTACACTTTAACACAGCTGCAATCGAAATTTGAGCTGTCAGACGTTTCGTAGATCCATGTGAAGAACGACAAATTGTTTTCACGGGGCAGGAAGTGCAGCACTTTTCACCAATAATGATGGAGTCCCATAGCCAGATGTCTCACAACAGAATTCTAGCCAAAGGACTCATTCGATAAAAGAAATTGCAGGTAACAACCTCTGAATCCGCGCCTCCGTCAGTTTAAATGTATTGCAAACAACTGTAAAACTGCCCTGACCCACAGGACCACACAACCACTGGTTGTCGTGAATACTGAGCCACAATTGAATGAGTTCGCCACTTCCTTGCATTACTGTTACAGTTCACAGCATTTATGAACTCCTTTACAACCTAGATAATATGGCAGTTTGGATGTGCTTGTTAGAAAGGTCTTCATATTGTTAAATTTCTGTTTGATGTTATGTGATACACTTGCTGGTGTTTCTACACCTCCAGAGTGAACAATGTAATTAAAATAGTGTGGGGATTTTATAGGTCACAGATGAATTACAAGTGGGTGTTTCGATAACGACAACGTTTATAAGTTCTGTTCCCTCAGAGAAAGTTTGACATGGCTCCTCAAGATTTTGAAGACGTGATACATGAAGACAAGGACAACAAGGTGGACGATCCGTGGCAAACACCACCAACTGCGTAAGACTTGGCGCCGTTTCACTTGTAAACTGAGTGAATGAATCTACAGAACAAGATTCTACTCCGGTGTATTTCCATTATTGTGTCTCAAAGCCTTCCTTCAAACCACTCAAAGCAAGTCGCCTAAAAAATTTTCCAATAGAAATATAAAGTATTTTATTTGTAAGGCGGAACCATATGACGTTGTGGTGCTAGGCTTGAAATATTGCAAAAGGATCCCTCAGACTTTCTCATGGGGATATGTTTCTGAGGTTTTAAAAGGAACAAGAAAACCGATGATGTGTAACGATAGTAAGACCTGAGTTTTAGCTTGCACTAGTCTAGGTGGTTGCCTACATTTGCTTGCATATTACGTGGGTGGGATCGCTTCAAATTTCATGCCCATGTCTAGTTGATCCAAGATTGCAAATCGAGTGCTTCCATGGTCTTAAATCTTGTATGGGTATCCAAGAATCCGCGAAACAACAGTAGATTTACCACCCGTATTGGAAGCTTACCTAAAGGCTACTGTTCAGGTGAGCAAACGCTGAGCACCAGTTTGAGATAGATTACATGATTCAAAATCAAATGTTGACTTCTTATTCCTCCTCGTTTTTTGCACCCCGTATTCTGTTGCACCTTTGCGGAACAAGAGGGTGGATTGGAGTTTAATCAGTGACAAGCATTTATAGTCCTTTGCTTAGCGTTTCATCCGAATGTCCGCGTTTGTCTGTTCAACTTTTGGTAGACCGACTGTAGCGAGGCAAGTGGATAAGCTAGCAGCATGCACTCCTATGACATGTAGTACATATTTCATATGGTCGAATTTGGACTAAAGTGCACCCACCGTCCATACATAAAGACGAGGAAAGAAAACTAAATTACAAAATTCTTTCGCTCACCTGCTGCGTGGTGTACGATTAAGCTTTGTCCACCGAAATGAACCTGAATTCTTCCAAGATGTGCTTTATAAACGTCTTTTTTATTGTAAACTCATAGAGGGATAGTAATTAAAACGAGCTCATTGTGCGCCAAACGTTTGCTGTTAGTTACCTTGAGCAGACATGTTGTCACTAGCAGAAATACTTGTCAGTTAAAAGGCAGTGTATTTACATGGATTATTAAATACTTTTTTTCAGAACCCTGGTCGGACGAGGACAGAGATGTGCAAAAATGAAGATGACAGATTTTAGGAAACAGCTTTTCGCATTCATTATAATATGTACTCACCATCCTCGATGCCTGTATCGCATTTATCGAACCATTCCTCTAATCAACTGAATTCGCTTTGTTTAGCCTTCTGTCAAAAATCTGATAAACATCACCGTAGGCAGGTCTAAGAAAGGATAGGTCTCTCGTGTTCTTGGCAATAGGCGTACGCTGATGATAAAGCCCCAAATTACGATGCCTGAATCTAAAGTTCATCACTCTTGGATACTGCAAACCTTGAAAGACTGATGAACGTAGCCAAAGTTTTATTGCTATAAAGAAGGGCTTGAAGTAACCAATGCTGAAGTAATTTCGTATGAATGTTTTTTTCGGAAGAAAATGAAACCCTCAAGCACAGGATGAATATTTGATTTTATAGAGGCAAGATAGTTCTAATTCTATTAGGTAGCTGCTATGCAGTTTGCAACGATTGGGTAAACACTCCTTGCTCAGCCATGCACGTCCACATTTGTCACGGGCAAAAAACGACAGATGCAATTTGGCGCGCAGGCGAACATCCTACTTCTTTTTGTGTTCTTCTGCGGATCTTGACAGTGTGCGTGTATTCGATCGCGATAGATGCATATTGAAAATTCACTCTCATGCAGTTAAGTAAATTTTATTTTGCATGCGCTCAAAAAACAGGCCTTTGCCCAGTCGTAAGATTTCAACTCCCGGCTGGTTTCAGTTTTTATTTTGCAAGAAGTTGAAAACGCAGACAGACCAGAAAATACGTGCATTTTGGCTTTGCATGCAGTAAGATTAGGGACATTTGAATTATGTTTTTGCACGAATGCATACTCCACTTTGCACTAAGGAAATGTTAATTACCATTTTCCCGTCTAACGCAGTTTATGAAACGAGAGCAGAACATTACCGGTAAAGGTCAGTACCTGAAATTTTCAAAATGAAAATATTAGAATAACGTTACATTAGAGTTTTATTTTAAGAAAATTTACATAAAAATGTCCGGATTTCACCAACATTTTGGTTTTAGCAACAATTTGCTGAATTCGGCAAATGAAATCATAGAAATCCTAGTGTTGCTTGCAATTAATTAGCTCAAGCAGCAGAACAAGTGACAAATCAGAGTTGTAGCAATATGGTGGATTCAGTCACGTAGGCGAAAAGTATCAGATGTGGATAAATTTAGCAGTGCCTGTTGGTCTGTTGGCCAAACTGGACGATTTGGTTGGGGATGTGAAATCACCAGTCGAGTGACAACATAAGTGTGTTGTGTGTGGAAGTGCGCTATTGTTGCAGTGCAACCGCCCGTCTTAGCAAACATACAAATTGTCATCAATATACTCTTGAATCTGCCGGTATTCTCTTCAGGTGCAAAAATATTATTGCGGTTCTAAAGTCCAAAATACCAATAGCTTTGCGACCATGTGGCATAATAGGTTTACATTTATTAGTTCTCATTTTACTCAAAATGCTATCAAACAACAGGCAAGACACTTCAGAATGTGGCTGAAGATTGTTGGTTGTTCATTTTGGTTAAAATTGGATTCATACTCAAGTATGTATTTACATGATTATTTAGTCTCGCACCAACACATCTACTTGTGCGGCGAGCGCCGAGTATTTACAGACACCAATTTCTGTGCAGAGTAGTTTTCCGTCATTTGAAGTGCACGAAGCACACGTTCATGGAGTAAAATAACTGTAGTAGACTGCGCTGATGGAAAGGACAGACTCTCCCATTGGATTGATTGGTCGACAGAAAGCTAATGCATTATATGCCTAACGTTGGGATAATGAGGCTTGACAAAAATCCTAACAGTATCCGGGACTTACACTAAAGATGAACGATTTATGTGCAGTCGTGCGGGACCTACAGAATTTTCTACACCGCGTAAAAGTATGCACGCGTCAATGGTTGCGTCAGCGGTTGGTTTTCACTTGATATTCCCATTTAAGAAATAGATTAGACTGTGGTGACAGCAGTGGAAAGTGACTTATGGAGTAAAAAACCATTACATCATAAACTGTAATCCATGATGCGTTAGTACTGCCGTTAAGGTTTCCTTGTAGTTCTCCTGAACGACTGGTATGTGAACGATATAAACTGTTTGCTAATATCTGAGTTACCATTTATTCGAAAGAACTACTGTCATATTGCTGGAAAACATTAGCAAGCAGTTACTTGGGTATTTGGATAGATTCATTAGAACTTACCTCCGCTAAGGTTGACAAAAATCTTGCGCATCGATAGCCAGGCGTGGCAAGCAGGTCAGCAGCTATCTGATCAACTATCAATAATTCAGCCACTCTACGTTCCAACACATTGCCAAGTTGTTTTATAGTTAAGGGGTCAGTGGTATGCAAGCTTCTGAAAACTGTATTTGGAACGATACTATTATGAACGGTTAACATGAATGTTTAAACAAGAGTGGTCTTTAGGTGGTGACAAGGCATATTCTCCTTTGAAAGTTTCATGCTGTTTCAGACCTTCTAAATAAGACACACCTAAAACCTTAAGGTACACCAATAGCCGGTTCATCTCCCCGTAATCACTCATCGAAAGCGAAAACGTGCCTGATATCATGCATTCGATTTTTACTACTGCTGACTATTTATTATTCTAAATACCCGGCTTAGACACAACACACCAAACGCGTAACGGTATTTACGGGAAGACTATTTTACACAAAATGATGGAGGCTTGTTTCATGTCAGAAACGGTTGCGGATGCATTATTACAATGCTTACATATTTCCGTCTATGGGCCAAAATGGGTAAATATCTGGTATACCTTTAGGCATTTCACGTGTGAATTATTTCGTCACAATTTCCCCGGAATGAGTGTGCGGCAACACGTTTTATACCATTATGCTACGTCGGTGATGAAAGCTGAGAGAGAACTCCTCCATTTAGCAGCCTAGTTGATACATTGGCGCAGTTAAGAATTTGATTTCTAGTTAGGTTCACTTATAAGATACGTAAATGTAGTAGGAATACAATCCTTAAATTATCGTTTCCATATGGTAATTTATTCTACTGCTAGTTGATAAATGCTTAATCAATGTTACTTACTTTCTAAGAAGAAAATTTAAAAAGTCACATCTGGGTTTTTTAATGCCAGATTTATTCCACTGCATTTAATTTGAATCACAATCACTGCCAATCAGTCAACTCAGGCGCAACTACAAGCTGCACTGTGACCGGCCCCGATGAAGGATGATTTTTTCCCGGCTGCAAATGTGGACGGACAGCACAAAATGTCAAAAACCTTTAAAAAGTGCTTGCAGATTAAAACAGTGACGAAAAAACATGAAGAATAAAATTACCGATAGTATCGTGGTATTATTCGGCAGAAATTTGAAAAAGTGCTTCTAGTCGCCTATTATACAGCTGTCATTGGAATTGCTTCCAGTAGCAGTCCTGGAGCTTAGATTGTGTTTTCAGCATTCACTATGCGACCACATAGAGACCCTACTCTATCATAGATTCTACAAATTTTAACGTTTATCGCCCCAATTACTCATTTCTTTATCCTCAAAAAACGATATTACAGTGAGAAACATATATTGTTTATCTAACATTTTAGGATGTAATCATTCTTCCATGAAGCGGGTTTGGTTGCACATTACATGTTTTAACCATAAAAAGCACACGAAAAACCATGTTTTCAGCCAGCCACATAACGTTATTTTAGGTTTTGTTCTCAAAGCTTCAGTACATGCTTTTACTGCGCTCCATGCAAACAGAAGTGACTACCAAAAACACCAAGTTACATCATTAAAGCGAACCCAAATGCGGGCTCCATTGGCGATAATCAGTTGAGATAAATTTCACTGAGACGCGTC